ATGAGGTGCACTGCAAGAGAAAGCACACATCGGAACGACGATCAAGAACGGGTCCTACGCGAGATGTCATCGCAGCGACCTTGCGCGGTGGCTCGCGCGGGCCGCCAGCGCGGCACGCCACGCTGGAAGCGAGGGCGCTGTCGCACGACCTTCCGCGAGTGGCTTACGCGCCAGTGTCGGCGCAAACGACCCCGCTTCTCTGCGTCGCTCATCATAGCAATACCCGAGCTGCGCATCACTGATCTAGCTCTTCCGGCTCCGTAAGGGCTCCTGGATGAGCGTCTTGATCTTCCCGAACGGGTCCTCGCCCTGGACCGCGGAGATCTGCGTGACAAGCGAGGCGAGCACCTGAGCGCCGCACACCCCCTTTGCCGTCCACGACTGGGACAGGACAGGATGGGAGCACGGCCACCACAGGTGGTGGTAGCATGACGCCAAGCCAGATGTGGAAAATGGCCAGGTCGAGTGCCAGTTGAAACAGATGCAAATCTGCGTGTGGCATACACGCACACGGCTGCGACTGATGGCCGATTGGGTGGAGCAGCTGCTATGTCCCCCTAAGCCCATTTCTTTCGAGACCATTCCTACAGAATCCACCAGCGCGCTTTCAGCGGATGGTGCGTGTTGGGCCCCTGTTTTTCTGTTAGCTTCACTTCTTGCGCAGCAACTGAAAGCCCCCCACACACACACACACACACACACACACACACACACACACACACACACACACATCGAGCCCAACATGCGTTCGTGTGCTTGGCCATCTCACCACGTCCTTGATGCCACAGCAAAAGGTTCCCATACTTCCGTGGCACCCGCGCACGCTGGCGGCCTCAAGAGCGGTAATCTGGAGGCCTTGGTGGTCTCCTCGGAGGTCCTGGGGGCACCCTGGGTCAGGGACACCTCGGGCAGCACCCCCCCACCAGGCACACCTTCTCCTCCCCCCCCCTCCAACGGGCGACCGCCCGATTGCCGCGGCGGACTTGCGCGGCAGCGAAGGCGTGAGCCCTTTCTGGCAATCGCTGCCCACAGCGTCCAACCGATCGGACAATTCGTCGTCGGCACGTCGTGCGCCGTTCGCAACCGGACGAACCGCCACTGGTCACGAAAGGGGTGCCATCGTTAGTGAGCGTCCAGACTCGCAGTCTCCATTGAGCTGCCATCGGATTTCGGTCTCTTGCGTCGGGTTGTGGGGAACATCCTGGAGGCCTTGCGCGGCAACTGGAGATTCAATGCACGCAAGATCCACGTCGGTGTCAGGCCGGTTTTACGTTGAGTGTACGTCGGACCTACATCAGAACATCACCGCACGAACGTCGTCCACGGACGAGATCATACAACTGTTCCGCGATGCGCAAGGCCTCCAGGACTCCTTACAGTCGATGGAGCTGCCATCGGTCTTCGGCGTCGCGCGTCCACCGTAATGATCCCGCGACCCATCGCGATTCTCTCTTCGGTGCCTGAGGCCGCGGTCCGCATAACTGCAGCCAGCCACACAGGAAAACGACCACATTAGCATGTCGGGGGTCCAGCGCCAACCCAAGTGAGCGGTTTCCTCTTCGGCGTTTCGACATTGGGCTGAAGGGGTGGGAGGGGGGGGGGATGTCTGGCTCCAGACCTCTGCTTAGTGGCACCGGTTGCAACAGTGCGTCAATTATGGGGGAGACTCTATGAGGGGGGGGAAAGCCAAAAGCCAAAAAATAGCCAAGATCTAGCCAAGATCTAGCCAAAAGCCAAAAATAGCCTCTGCTCGAAAGAGGCGCCAAAAATAGCCAAGATCTACTCCATGAGGGGGGGGGAAAGCAGGGGGAGGGGGCGGGGGCCCGCGCCGACCGGCAAGAGCAGGCATGAGAAAACGAACACGAGCGTACCTCTGAAATCGTATGCCTTTGTGCAGCCTGCCCCTCGCTCTCCGAGGCCCCGCCTCTCCCCGCAAAGCCAGGCGAGCGAAGGGCGACCGGCAGCCCGAGTACCGCGCGAGCGTTGCTTGAAAGCGCGCGGGGTGCTCGCTGCTCCGAGGAACGATCGAGAGGAGGAGGAGGAGGAGGAGGAGGAGGAGGAGCACTCGCGACTTCCATCAAGAGCAAGACCGCCGGCGACCCGCTCCAAGAACGCAACCGCCTCGCCAGAGCGTAGAGCGACGCCCGCAGCGAGCGGAAGTACGAGGAAGAATCGGCAGGCGGGTTACAATCACAGACTCGGCTCGTGCGCGTCCCACGTCTCCTGCATCATGTCCCATGCATCCTGCCTCCTGCCTACAGTTTGCCGGGAGGCCCACGGCGTCAAAACGAAACGAACACTGGGTGGGGCTCCGAGCACCTGGCATCCCACCAGCCTACGGGGGCGCAGGTGGTCTAGCACGTTTTGCCTCCTCCAACCCCCTTCTTCCCCTTCGGGGGGGGGCTTGTCACTGCTCCGAATTCATATGCGTTCCCTCCCCCACCCGACCAGCGACAAACCGTGGCCGAGGAGGATGAGGAGAGGGAGGACGAGGAGGAGGAGGGGGAGGAGGAGGGGGAGGAGGAGGAGGAGGAGGATTTGTTTTCCATTGAACACCGCCCTACAGGTGACCTGAGGGAACGAGAAAGGATATGGCCGTGGGATTCACGAATCCATATCTGGCATGGGCTCGACACTAACCCCTTTGAGCTTAGGGTGATGCCCACGCTGCATGAGCCGCCAACGGTCCCAGTCATTTCGGCCAGTCTTGGCGGCATCACATTGGCGGCTAAGCCGCAGCACTCTGCCGAGACAGATGTAGGCTTTACACCTGGCGCAGACGAAGAGTGGCGACTCGTCACTGCACTGCAAAGCAAGCATGCGGTGACCCAAATTCGAAATCAGTTGCACAGAAGGCGGAGGCCCACCGCGAAACCCTGCCAAGGAAGGTCGCTCAGCGCAGCGACGAAAACGGAGACAGCACATGCACCGCCAGACACCGCGATACCATTCCCATTGGTGATCGAAGAGAGGCTCAAGCGAAGGAGGCGGTGACATGGGAATGGCACGCTGCACTTCACTGAGATCTAACTTCGGCCAGCTGGGTAAAACCGCGGCGGCAACTCTACAGACAGCACGAGCAGTGGCAACTATTCGATCTATCTGCGCCATCTCGTCCGCACTGGCCTGCGGGTGGAGTGACGCGCCGTGCTTCGCAGCTCTGTCGGCCGCGTCGCTGCCAAGCTTAAAAAATTGCATCTCATCAGTCATGTCGGCAGACTCGACAGTGTGAGCCATACTTTCCTCACAGCACGCCAGAACTTGGAGGAAGTAAAAACTGCACTGCCATACGATCACTTCTTATATGAGAAACGCACGGCTCTGGGAGCCGAGTGGGCCCTGACGACCCCTTCACAATCCGCATAGCCCGTTGTGGTCCCCTCCAAGCATTGAGCAGTAGCTGAATAGGCACTGTACTCCCCAGCCTGTGAGGTCTGGGGAAAGGGCTTGGACACCGCCCCCGAGACTGAAACTATTACTTCCCCTAGAGGGTCCACAGACACAAAGCCCCAGCCCGCCCTTGACAGCTCCTTGATGACATGCTTGTAGGACGAACCGCCCCAGAAAACATCACCAGAAACTCCAACGGCACCAGGGGCGGACCCTGGACCACCAGCAAAAACGTGGACGATATTCCCAGCCTCCGAGAGCCTCGGCAACCAGTCCCCTGGGTGAAGGAAGATACCCCTGGAAAAAAAAATATGTTCACTGTCACTGCCCTCGTCAATCACACATGGGGCGTCTTGCACGATGGCAGCGTCACATGCCTCTTGGCGCTGATCGGAAACGCTCGGGAACTGCCACAGTCGGCGAAGCAAACTATCAGGAGCAGCGCCGCAAAGCTGGCACAGATTGTCTCGAAGCAGGCACCCGCACTCGATGGCGCGGTCCTTAGCCCAGGCGCCGTCGCAGGCGATCATCCTGATCACTCCGCGATCGCGCGGCTTGCGAGCCGAGCGTCGCAACTCCGAGGCCACGACATCAAAGCACATCCTCCCACTCCCAATATTGTCGCTCACCGCCCTCTGGTGCGAGCGGATGACCCCCTCAAACAAAAGATCGGCCACGACAGCTGGCGACGTAGCCGTGAGCGGGATCTCGCCACCGAAATCGTTGACGAGCGTATGCCATGATGGCATGTGCCATCCAATCCTAACAAGAGATAAACGCACGGCCTGCATAGGGCCCCGGACCTGACGCCAAACGGGAGCGGGGTCGTCAACGCAGCTAGTTTTCCAAGCCGCACCCAGCACAGAGAAAGGCAACGCATGGTCAGACAACCTCGACTGGGCCCTCCAAACCTCTCTCGAAAACCGAACGATCGGGGCCACAGCGGCCCTCCACGTGGGGTCTTGGTAGAGGATAAGGAGGGAGGTGAGGGAACGCTGGCCCGAGGATGGCTTCAGGGTGGCACCTGAGGCTCTTCGGGCACAGGCAAACTCATAGTCTGAAATACCATGGGTGTCTGCGCCAGAATTCAATCCGGCAAGCGGGCCCGTGCTAAAAATGCGGCGCGCGTGACGGCCAAGCGTAGCCTTGCACCGCTGGAACCTCGCTTGCCGCTGTTTGAATATACGGCGCCTTTTAGCATACTTTTTACCTCTCCTGCCACCTCTCCTCCCCATACCCGCCGTCTCATCAACGCCCAGATTCACGGCAGCGGCCCTCGGCTGTCCAGCCAACGGCCCCAACAGCTTCTCGATGCGATCGCCGTGGGGGGAGGAGGAACAAACAAGAGAAGCCTTATCGAGGGATATAGTGCAATCCATATATTCCGTGATAACGTGGTGAAGCTCTCTGGCGGCTTCGACGACGATGTTAACGATCGAAAACGGGCGAGCCTGAACCGAATAGCCGTAGTCGTCAATGTAAACATCGAGGCAACGCTGCACCCTCGGGGATAAAAGATCAAGGGGCGGGATAACAAAAGCACGCACAAAGCTGGCGGCTGCCGAGCACCCAGCTACGACACCTCTAAGCGCAAAAAATGGTCCTTGGACCATCGTGCCCAACATGATAAAACGCGGTCCTGCATACATGTTGAGGCAGACGTAGGCAATCTGCGGCGGGAAGCCCAAGTGCTTGCAGCGTTCCTTGGGCGTTTCGAGGCAGATGGTTCCGAAGAATTCGCGGAGGCCCCATTGCATGCTGCAAGACACCTGCGAATTGGCCACTGCAGCCTCCGAGCGGAGCGACTGCCGCCACACAACGTCCCCTGCTCCAGCAAAGGCCGAGGCGACATGGTAGGGCCTGTGCACGCTGGTCTCCCAAGCCTGGAGGATGGGCCGCCGCAGCCTTCCCCAAAGCTTGTAAAAGCCAGCAAAGATGTCGATCGGCCTCCATCCCCCAGTCGGTTTTTCTAGAAGGGCCAAACTCAAAATGCGAACCTGCTTCGGGATCACACCAGTGCTTTCCATAACCGACCAGAGGGTCATCAAAGCATGGAGGGCAGCATCACTGAGAGCCTGGAAGTGCCGCATGTGAAACCCGTCGACTCCGACGGCGGAGGCAGGCGTGCACGACCTGGAGGCCTTACGAATGCAGTCGGGTTCAAGCCACTCTAAGGATTCCAAAAACTTGACAAAGCCCTGCTTAGGGGGGAAGGGGGCCTCCTGGGCCCTCCAAAGCCCCGAGAAACGAGCACGCTCAGTCTGCAACAAACTTTTAGGGTCAGCTAAAACCGTACCTGTGGAGGAGACGGCGTGGGCGGGGGCCCAGGCAGTGGGGGGGGCGGGTCCAATTATGAGCACGCTTCCCTCCCCCCTCCAGCCCGTCACACAACCACTCCTTCCAAATAGCGGCAGCCTCGGCCCTGGCAGTGGCCGAGTAGGTGCCGAGAGCCTCGCTCAAGGCCGCAATGGCATCATGACCCGCAGCCTGCCACTGGTCTCCAATGTCAGTGGCGCCGTCAAAAAATTGGCCTCACGTGATCTTGGACTCGCTGGGCCAACTCCTGAAACAAAAACAGATGATCACTGATGTCTCTGGGTGGCGATAACAACATGCTGGAGATATCCCTGGCCTGGCACCAGCGGTCCGTGCTAGCGCAAACGACGAACATCCTCAAACTGCCCTCGAGCCACCTGAGAGCGCAGAGCGCCGGCTGCCTGGGCTTGCGGCTGCTGTCTTCGGCGAGCACCGACTTCCACGCGAGCTTGGGAACCTTGCCTCGAGTTCCTCGGATCGGCAGAACCATCTGGCACGCAGCCCCAAGCTCCTCTTCAGATTGATTGGCCCAAAGCTTATATAGCAAACTAATATGACGCTGGATGGACGATTTGGGGGGCCCCGAACGAACCAAGGCAAGGGCATGCTCGGCACAGTCAAGAGCATCCTGCCAGCAGGAGGGTCGGGGGAAGGGCCCGACAGGGAGGGGCCCTGGGATCGGAGGGGGGCGCGCAAAAGTGAGGAACTGAAGGTCCGCAAGCGACTGATGGAACCTGACTCGGACGGGTCGACGGGGGCGAATGTCCGCATTCAACACGACCGACGTACCAGCAACCCCTTTCCCGAGCCCTGGGCTACAGACAAAATAATCGAGCATTGGCCCACCTCCCGCAGCCGTGCTGGCGCAGGAGATGGAGTTGGGTGGGTAGACGATGTTAGCAGAAAGGCCCGCCGCAAAATCACACCTGGCGAGCTCAGACGGGGGCATATTTAAATCCCCCACCACCACCACCACCACCACCACACGATGTAGGGGGGGGAGCAGGAGTTAAGGAGGGAACCGAGTTTGGCTAAAACGCCAAGGTTAAGTTCAGATAATCCTTCGGAGTCCCTGAGGTAGATGGAGCAACACAAAGCGGTGACGCCGCCAGGTACTTGCACCCAGCAGGCCGTCACTCGGCCTGGGTAGAGATCTGGTCCCTTAGTGAGGTCGTAACAGCCTAGCCAATCTCGAACCAAAATCGCCGCGCCGCCAGACGAGCCCCCATCGGGCGTGACCAGGGCAGGAGTAATTCGAGCGAGCCAGCCGTGGCGACGACACCAAGACGAAGCTTCTACCACCGCAGCCTGATTTGCTAAGTGATGCTCCTGAACTAAAGTTATATGGGCGGGGGTTTTTTAGAGCCAGGGCTTGGCCGACGTCCAACTGCTGGTGTTAATGGTTTCAAAAAGTAGCTCAAAATCGTCAGGGCCTGGGTGGGCTGGGGCTCTGAGGACACCATTACACTGGGTCATGTTAGACTGGCCAGGCTGCACGTGGTAAAAAGTTTGCCCCTGAGTGGGACCATGCTGCTGCAAAAAACTTATCTGCACTCACTTTGCACCCCCCCCCCCCCCCCGAGCTCATGGCGATGGCTCGGGGGGGGGGGGGGGGGGGTCCCTGTGACTCAGGAGCCCGGGCAGCAGCACGGGCGGCACGCTCACGAAGGTTGGCGGCAGCGGCGGCGTCCTGCGGGGCTGCCTGGGCCGCAGCGGCCGCGGCAGCACCTGGGACGCCTCCGCCGCCAGCAGCGGCAGGTGCATCACCTTCACCTCCTCCAGGAGCGGCGCCGTCCTCGACCCTGCGCTTCTTGTGAGAGAGCCTCGAGAGGTTCTCCCTGTACTCCTTCTTCGCCGTGTCGAGAGTCTTGACCAGGTCGGCGTACAGCGTACTGGCCAGCTCCTGCACACCAGCAAGAAGCTCCTTCTGCTTGCCCTGCAGTAAAGTGATATCTTCAGAACTGAAATCATACTCTGCCGACGGGATGCCCAGCAATTCGTCGCCACCGACGATGCTGATCTCCGACAGCCGCCCCTCGAGCAGGTCGCGGACGTTGATATGCGTCGCCGTGCTGCTTGCCTGCTGCTGGGGCTTGCACACTGTAGAATGTAGCTGGCCAACGAGGTCGGTGTGGATGCGGTCCTTCTCCGCCAACTCAGCCTTGAGCTTGACCACATCTTCATGCTTCTTTGTGACCCATACGCGTGCCGAATCCAACTCGTCCAGCGCCTTCTCGAGCCTGCGCTCAGTGGTCTTGAGGGCCTGATGCACATCATTGGCCTGTCGCTGAAGAGGCTCTGGAGGTGCAGGACGATCTTTGGCTTGGCGACGCTCGAGGGCCGCCTTGTAGAAACCCACGTTGGCTGCGTCGTTATGCTTATTCGCGATGTCAATGAGCTGCTGCAGCTCGTCCACCGAATAGTTGTCACACTTCTGCGACTGTGGCCCCGCCTTGAGCGGCTGTCCGCCAGCAGCCGCTTGAAAGAGGAGGAAGGTCGCCTTGTCGCTGCACCGATGACGTACCCCCCGTCCATGAGCCTGGAGGAGCCGTCCCTGGAGCTGCACCTCTCGGCCGCTTGCAGTGCTTGCAAGTATTGGCACGGGAATCGTTCTTCTTGCACCGACACTCTGGGAATGTACATGTCCAGCAGCCTGCAGGAGCGCCGTCGTCACTGTAGCCAGGAGCGCCAGGATGTGCACCAGGAAACGGCGTGGCGCCCCACTGAGGCCACTGCGGCGCGTAGGCGAACCCATGTGCCCAGGCTGGGGACGGCCCCCATGGCATGGGCTTGAACGGGGCCATGGCGCTGAGAGAATCGTGCCAGTCGGGCTCGTTGGCACCTTGTGCCGCTCTGAAGTAGATGCCAACAATCACAGTTGCCTGTGCCAGAACGGCTAGGAGGAGGAGGAGGAGGAGGAGGAGGAGGAGGAGGAGGAGGATCCCCGTCAAAAAAAGCATTGGCAAATGCACTTCTGCGACAAAGCTTGGGTCATGTCCAGGGGGCCCGCGGGCACGTCGCACCGATTTGTTGTGCGAGGGCTGCGGAGGTGTGCCAGCATCTGGCCTGCTGCGCGCAGGGGCCACCGTCACTCTCGGCAAACAGTGCAGACTACCCATCGGTCGAAGAAGTAGGTAGAGGCATGAAGTAGGAAGGCGTTGGAAACTGATCGGGTTCCGTCCGCCCCCCAGGGAGAGCGGAAAAGGTGAAGCCACTCGATCATTGAAAAATAGGCAGGCGCTTAAAGTAGATTGGAATAGGGGGATCCAAAAATACGGACTTTCAACGATCGATGGGTACACTTCGCGGCTGAATCTGGATCATGCGCGGGCACCCCGCGATCGCTTTGCATTTGCTTGTGGCAGGGACGATGGGGGATGGGGGTGCTGGCATGGCGCATGCCGTGTGAAGGCTCGCAAGAGATCACGATGGCCACTCCGCCACGAGTGCGCATCAGTATTCGACAAAGGTGGTGGGGGGGGAGCGATATGTTCCCCGATGTGCGCGGAAGCACCTCGCACACTCTGCGAGTGCCCCGAGCGTGGCGCACCTGGCGCGGCTGGAGCGTGCGACACACTTGGCCAGTCGAGCCCAGAATCGGATCGATAGGTCGGATCGGCGATCGACATAAGTCGGATCGGCGAAACTCGGCGGCCGAGTCGGGAGGAGTCGTAGCGGTGGACATCGGCAAGCCAACAAGCTTCCATGGAAACATCAAGCTTCCATGGAAACATCGGAAGACAAATCGGAATCCCAAGTCGAATCGAATCGGAGCCGGAAGCCTAAGGGTCGTTTCACCGATCCCCATCCCCAGCGGCGTGGCCCGGGCCCCACTGGCCGATCTGCCCCCCTCGATTGGGGACACGGGCCGCTCCCCTCGGGCTCCGAGGGGCGCATCCCCAGCTGGGGGGGGCCACCTGGTGGGGGGGCCTCGAAGGGGGACGGGCCTGGGGAGGGGGATCGGTGAAACGATGCCGAAAGCGATCGAAATCGGATCTCACCTCGGATCGAAGGAGCCGCAGCGAGCCCCGCGCGGCGCGCGCGCGGAGCGCGCCCGGCGCGCTCGGGCCCCGGGGGCGCCCCGAGCGCGCCTCGCAGGCGAGGCGGGGCGCGGGGTGCGCGGCGCAGCAGGCGCCCCGGCGTCGCGCACCCGGGGACCGTCCAGGGCAGGTTTTCATACATGGGATGTGTGAACACATAGGATTTGTAATACATGACTACACGTATGAATAAATCTATGCATGAACGCATCGTTGTTTTTAATGCTAGATCCCTGCATGTTTAATGCATGATCCGCACGCGGAGCATGTCTTGAAAACGGCACTGTCGGTGTTCAATGCACGGAGGCCTGGAAAGGGGGCACCAGCAGGTTTGGTGCCCCGCTGGCCGATTTACCCCCCCTAGATGGGGATAGAGGCCGTTCCCTTCGGGCTTCGAGGGGGGGGTATCCCCAACTGGGAGGGTGATCTGGTGGGGGTCTCAAACGGGCTGGGGACGGGGACGGGGATGTGGGTCGGCTAAACGATCCTGATGAAGGAAGGAGCGCAGACGAGGGCAAGACTTGGAG